GGAGTAATGGCTGATGGAAATTCAGCTTTGCATCACAGAAATAAATTATATTTTAAAGGATATTAAAATAGAAACCGTTATATTATATTGTAATAACATTTTGCAAGATTACTGTTTTTTTTCTGTATTTTTGATCAAATAAATGCAGCCTTGGTGAGCATAAGAGACTTCTTTAAAAAACATTAAAATCTTACTGATCCCTAACTTTTGAACGGCAGTGTATATATCCTGACATTTCATCTTGTATGACATTTCAGGGAACTCCAAATGAACAAATTATGTCATGTGAAAAAAAAATCTTTCAGAAATCGTATCAGTGCACGGAGCAGTGAATACTGTGTAGGAACCCTGAGAACCAGAACGCAGCTTGTGACATATTGAACAGGCTGTACTTCCCTCCCACACAGCCTTGTGTTCATTCAAATTAAATATGCCGTCTATTCTGACTAAAGTCTATGAGGGGGTGGATTTTATATTAATCTAGTGCATAATAGAGAAGAGTTAAAGAAGAACATATATACAAATGTCACACATGTTCCTCCATGACCCCTGAGTCTCAGTCTTAACTGCCCCCACAAAGGTTAACTGCCCAGCTGATTTTCATTGACTTACAGAAGGGCTGTGTGTGGCATGCGTGGGCTCTAATTGAGCCGGGAATCCCACACACCTCCCCACTGGCAATACGACACGACAGAAGCACCTGAATGAGTCACCGAGTCTCTCTTCCACTCATTCCCATTCTTTCTCTCCTGTCTGCAACATGTACACTCACCCACTCCCCTTCTCGCCTCCTCCCCTTTCAGGCATAGTGGTGGCCTCGTCTTTGACTTCTTCTAAACTACACACCACTCAGACCCACACAACCGTGGGCACTCAGAGATGGCACGATTCCAAAGCAAGGTTATTATTGTTAATTAATTTGAGTACTGGGTTAGACTTTATTTTCAGGTGTCCGTGTTACAGTGTAATTACACATAAAAGTACTGTCAATCAAAGTATTTCTGTAACATCAAAGGAACAGTTCACCCAGTAATATCAATAGAATAGTTCACACAAACACTGAAAATTTGTTGAAAATGTACTCACCGTCAGGCGTCAGGCCATCCAAGATGCAAATGAGTTTGTTTCTTCATCGAAACAGATTTGGAGAAATGTAGCCCAAAATTAGCATTATATCACTTGCTCACCAAGGGATCCTCTGCAGTGAATGGGTGCGGTCTGAATGAGAGCTGATAAAAACATCACAAGTAATCCACGTTTTTAACTTCAAACAATTTATGGATATGGAAAGATTACTAAAGTTAAAATGATTGATTACTTGGTGGATACATAACAATGGATTTGTTTCTTACACACAAGCTTTTCAGCTCACAAGACGTTAATTGATGGACGGGAGTCATGTGGATTACTTAAATTTGGGGATTATTGTGATGTTTTTATCAGCTGTTTGGACTCTCATTAAAAAAAAATGAACTGAAACAGCTGTTTCAGTGACTCACTTGTGGAGCACGGCGATCTCATTTTCAATGCTGTTCTCTTTCCCCTCTAGAGCTTTTTTCGGGATGCATTTTATCGCCACTAGTTTTCTAGTCCTCTTCTCCTCTGCGAGCATCACCTCAGAAAAAGCCCCTCTGTAAGACAAGACCCATATAATCAATCAGTGTCAGTTTTACCAATCAGTATTAACCAAATCAAATTTTGCACCGCAGAAATGATACACAAACTTTAACTGAAATGAATTTAGATCTATTTACACAGATTGTTTAATGCAGCTCAGAGGTGGGCTGAATGCATTTATTCTACATTTACAATTGCATAAAGGATGTTATGTGAATTCAATAAGACCAGGGTTCCATGAAGGTCTACAGGGTCAGATATACAAAGCATTTAGACTATAAATGGCATATACATTTCATAACATTTCATGACTATTTGAATGAACATTAACTAAAGATTAACAAATGATTTAGAATAATTACATGATTATTAATGAATAATAATGAAGTGTAATTGTAATAATTACTAAATTATTATACATTTCTATAACATTAACAAACAAAACAAAAATGAGAAATGTTGCATTGGTAAATAACTGAAATATGTTTAAGTACTAAAATTACTGAAATTGAAATAAAAAGCACATGACAAAATATTCAAAATATTAATACACACTACAATAGTTTACTAAATAATATTAAAATAATACAGGTTCCTGGGCCTGAAAAAGTTGGCAACCCCAAAACATTAAAGGCAAATGCCTATATGCAAAATTCCTAAAATTGTTGGCTTAAGTAACATCCTGCTGGGAAAGCTCTCGTTATTTTACTTTTAATCTTTCCAGTGAAAGTCACAGATGGGCTGAATGTTGACTCAGAGAGCCTTGCCTCAACAAGACCTAACCAGACACAACATGCTACAATGACAAGCAATAAAAGCTCTTCCATGCAAATTTGAGTTCTTATCTAAACCAGCTGTGAATGAGACAAGAAAATTTAGTTTCTATTTCTGTGGCCCTGTCCACAAAGAAATCTCACTGGCTCATAGGTCACTCCATCGCTGAACATAAAACACATTTAACCATTACAGCTAGTGGATTGGTGAAAACGAAGGAAAACAGGAAGCAGATGTTAAAAGACTTCCTCTGAAGGGATAACACAGGAGGTGAGTTCTCTGGAAGAGTTTAAGGATTCAGATGAAGTATTTAAATGCTACTTTCTGATTTGATCAAAAACACTGATTCATTCAAGAAATAAACAACATTAGTGTGTCTTGGTCAGAGACACATAATGTTTAACTTTGCGCTGGCTTCGGTCAGAAAAAAGCAATATGGACTTCCCAGCTACATCTGGTCTGAAATGGAAGTAACATCAAATAGGAATTAGAGTTTAATTATGTTTATTCTCCTGGTGGTTAAACTTAAATGCCCTCAAAATTTCAGTTTTAATCTTATGTTTACATCATGTGATATAGTTAAGCACGTACACAAGCAAGAGTGGTGATTTTCCCGCATTTCAGCATTATTGCAAATGTGAAAATTATTTTATCCAACAATTCCATATACAATAATGTAATGTTGTGAGTTACACTTTAAACACAATTTTGTCAATATTGTCTGTTTTCACTCTATTAAATAGCTTCACAATTAACCACAACAGAACTATTGTGTGTCTTCGATCAACATGCAGTTGTGTTTTGTTACTGAATGAATTTGTGCTTTGAACGAATCGTGAGTCAATGATTCAATGATCCATTCGAAGTCACATGCTTAGTTCCCCAATTATTTAGCCATTTCAGCAAATTGGTTGAATAAATGACTGAATGGCTTGGCCATCAAGCCACTGACTTGCTACTATCTAATGGTGGTTTTAGTTTCATATTTAAAGGTATAATTTAATTTGTCTATATTTATAACATCATATTTTAAACATTAATCGCATAACATCTTTTATGCAATTGTAAATGCAGAATAAATGCATTCAGCCCACTTCTGATCTGCAATAAACAATCTGTGTAAATAGATCTAAATTCACTTCAGATAAAGTTTCTGTACCACTTCTGCATGGCAAAAATTGATTTTGTTAATACTGATTTAATTTGATTGATATTGATTAAATGTGAAAATGTGACAAAAGATGATGCATACAAATAACAAGGTTAGAAAAAAAAAAAAACATTAAATGTGCAAATGCTACTAGAAATCAATTTAAGAAGGGCTAATACTGCCACTTAATATAAAATTAAAAATTGCTTTCAGTAACTGAAATATAGATTAAATAAATTATATTGCATTACTTAAACATAAAAAAATGGAAATGCTGCCTTGGCAACTAACTGAAATAAGTCATTTTAAGAACTAAAGTTACTAGAACTAAAACTGAACAGAATTACTCAAATGAAAACAGTAAATATAAATATTGAAATGTTAATGAATACTATATTAGTATTTAAAAAGTACAAAAATAACACTGGTTCCTCAGTCAGGAAAAAGCAACATTGGCAACATTATAACATTATAGGCAGATTCACACACAGAAGTCCTAAAACTGTATTTTTGTTGATACTGATAGTGTAGTATTATTCTAGTTGCATTTACTGATTAAATGTGAGAATGCGGCATAAAAGATGATGCACACATCTAATAGAAAAAAAAAAAAGAAAAAAATCCCCTTAAAGGTAAAACTACCACTGGAAATTAATGTAAGCTTCAGGAGTCAGCTGTCAACAACCAGCCAAGGCACTAGCACAAAAACACGCTTAGCAAAATATTGTCTAATTATCGTTATCAGCAAAAAAAAAACAGAAAATAGCATTTTTGTCAATATTGCACACCCCTAGTTTCAGGTGAACAATAATTTACTGAGTGTTGATATATCTTCATATTGTTTCAGTTGTCTTTATACCATTACACACAAAGATCCACATAGTCACAAGACACCATTTGAACAGAAGATCCGTGATCAGGCCTAAAAGCTCTGATATCATCAGCAAACCACCCAGTCTGTTCAATATTTGAGAATGGAATGAAGATTAAGAGTAAACTCATTATTAAACAGGATGTGAATATAGCTCCTCAGCAGCACAGATCCGGCCAGGCAGACTTATCCCAGAGAGCTCAGCACAGGCATGGAGGACAAACACTGATATGATACACAGTTAAGCCTGCATGCGTATGTGTGTGTGTGTGCACATAACAGGAGAGAGGATGGGAGAAGGCTGTGGGCTAAACTGCCAATGCTGAGCATGCGGAGACACATACACTTGCTCGTTTACAGCAATGCCACACTAGTGCTGACACACAACTGAACATGATGGCGCACAGATATTGATGTGACGAGCGTAAAACAGCAGACCCTGCGTATGTCAAACATGTTTGTTATAGTCATGTAATGTGCAGTGCTGAGACCTCATCAAACTCAATATGGTTCAACACCTGGAATCAGTTGCTCTGCTGTAACACTAGCGCACACTAACACACACAGACTAGTCTAACACTAGTCGGATTGCATATGTAGAACTGAAACAGGAAGTCTTAGTGAAGTGAGAAAACAGTGTTATCTAGCTAAAAATATCTGCACAGATGTTACATACTAAAAATTTTACTAGTTTTACAACGGAGTAAAATGTATACATAACAGTGCAGTAAATATGGATTACAAAAATTTTATATGATAGGAAACAGAAAAGTAGAATATTGAAATATTTACAATTTCTGAAGAAATTGAGCTGTTAATTGCTGCAACCAGATCCATGACCGGTCATAACCAGTCATTGAAGACCAGTTTTGTGAACTGGATTAACCGATCACTTGAAAAGATTTGACTCAAAATGTCAGTTTCATCACTAAGTTATCATATGGGGGAGTGAGTGGCAATGTCATGGACAAAATTTTCCAGGGTGTTGCTATGTGGTTGTTAAGGTACTCTGAATGTTTTTAGTAGGGATGCACAATATATCAGTATTTCAGTACAATACGATTTATCTTAAGACTTAAAATCACTAATAATTGAATATCAGAATTATCAGAGCCACAAATTGGTCACACTGGGCCTCATTTATCAATCTATCTTTGGGCAAATCAACTTATGACAGGGTTCACATGTGATTCATGAAACATTCGTATGCCGCCAATTAGGGCTGCACAATTAATCAAATTTCTAATCGCGATTACAATTATGGATGCCACAATTACGTAATCGTTCAAAGCGGCAATTAATCGTTTAAAGTCCACTTATGTAATTCTGCACGCTTAAGATATGTTTTTTTCTTTCTACATGTTATCTTAAGGGTTTTCCATTGTTTTAGTTTTAGTATAACATTATAATACCATTCATATTTTAACTTTTTTTATAATTTAAAGAAGAAACCAATCCGATGTATATTTGACATTTGAGGCTTAATACTATAGAAAAGCACTAAAAGTTTTTCAGTTAGAGTGTTTTCAGCTTGTTTATTTTCATATAAAAATACGGCATGCAGTTGCATCAAACAATGGTATAAACATCATTCAATGTAAATTGTGATAATCGTAATTAATAATCGCAATTACAATTTCAAGGGAATAATCGACAATTATGATTTTTGTCATAATCATGCAGCCCTACCGCCAATCACATCGTATGAATGATCATACGTTGATAAATGTTGCGGCTGAAAACAATCGTCATTTAAATATCACACCCCTAAAAACACCCGGTTTAGAAGCCTTGCCCCTAGAGTTTACGACATGGAGAAACGTAACCCAGCGAAATGGAGGAAATAATCTCATGAAAGAGAAAATGATCTTACTCCAAAAACACGTGTTAAACTTGTAATTTCAAACAATTTCATTCATTTATATTAAATATCGGTAAATATAATTAAACTAAATCCTTTAAATTTAATGGTATACATAACAGAACAAGAATGAAAAATAAGTAGCTATAAAATCATATAATAAACTATAAAATAAAACACAAATGAGGCTATAGTGGCAGTCAACGGCATACAAACATCAAGCTAAAATTAATTTATTTAAAGCAAAACTGAAATGGCATTTCACAAGCCACTCTCATTCGACAATAATCCAAATGTTTCCATTTTTGCCATGTAACATTTGGTTGCTAAACTATTATTCATTACGCAAAGAAGGCTT